AAGGGTTTCTCCTTTCAGTGTTCCCAAGAAGAGAACTGCAATAGTGAAATAGTGAAAATGAATAGTTTGGGTCCCTGGTGAAAAGTATCCAAAGAGAAAGTGTTGTGTGGATACAAAAGAAAAATGCCCGTCCAAATTTTAAGTGTCTGAAAGATGTATAAAATGAGAGGCTTACAAGAATAGGGCTAATGTTCTGTGCCATTGATAGCTCTTAGAATCTTAAAGTAAATCCTTTCAATAAAGAGCTTTTCAGTTACATCAAAAGGTAGAAGAACCTCAGGCTTTGTTTCTGCTTCTTTTATGGCTTCCTGAAATCTAAATGTTAAGGAAGGAAGGAAGGAAGGAAGGAAGGAAGGAAGGAAGGAAGGAAGGAAGGAAACATATTTCTCTCTGGAGATTCCCTCAGCACTATAGTATGTTATATTATGATGATGGATTGTGATTTATTGTATAGTAAACAAACCTCCCCAAGTGCAACTATGTTACTTCAAAGGTTAAATAGCATTCCAGGTGGGCCTGGGTAGAATATTTACAGTGGAGAAGGAAAAGGAAACCCGCTGTGCTTTCCATTGGTATCAAGTGTGAGCCAGCCCTAAGGCTTCAAGGCCACAGTTTAAGGAGTCTGTTCTCACATGCTGGATCACAAAGCACAGATGTGAATTCGTATTCTGAAGCATGCTTGATACTCCTACAGCCCACAAATTGCTATCGCTATTGAAAAAAAAAAAGTATGAATTTATTACATTCAGATTTTTAATTTATTAGGGCACTCTTGGCTAAAATTAGAATTATGGTGTTTGACATTTATTTTGCATATACATTTAATATTGACAGAAGAAGGGAATTCAGGAATGCTGAATTGTGTTTTATATCTGCTTTGCAAGATAATTTATTAACAGCATTTTGAGATTCCATCTTTTTGTTTATTTCAGGTCATGGAATGAATAAGAACCAGACAGCAGAACCCGAAGGATGGAGAAATGACAGTGTCACTCAAATGGTTTTTATCAAATGAAACACTGACAGTATCTAGAGGAAAAGAGGTTTGCAAGTACAATTGTCACAACAATTTCAACCCGGGTGACTTTTACTTGACTGCAGCCATCTACAGATTCCCTTATGTTTTATTTGGGGGGAAAAAAAATCTTTTTGACATGGTTGACATATTATGGATATTATGTCCTCTGGGTTTCCTCCACATGCTCAAAAATCAAGAACTGTCCTCAGCATGAAACTTTAATGCTTGGCTCAGTTATTCATGACCTTACTAGTCTGTCCTGATTAGGTGGAAGATTAATTGCCCTTTGATTCTTTTTTGGAGACATCTCTGAATGTGTAATAAACACACTAATATCAATGAGTGGCTCACCATGCAGAATACTTATGTTACATTTAGATAAAAATGTCAACCCTATCATTTTAGCTATTTAGTTACTTAGCTTTGTGAATGAAAATACTGTATTTATAAAACATATATTTACAAAATATTGGATTTGATTCAAAGAGATGAACCAAATGTTCCTCAGATACATCCATTCTCCCAATCCACATTCTCTTATAAATCATGAATGGCCATTTCACCCCTGGAAATCAAAACTCTTTTTAACACATCTCTAAGTTAGTAAGGATATGTATGTATGTATATGACCACAAGCGTGGTGTAGTGGTAAAGTGGTGGGCAAGGAGTGAAAAGATCCAGTTCTTCCTTAGGCATGGAAGCCAGATGGGTGACTTTGGACCAGTCATTCTCTCTCAGCCCTAGAGTGGGAAGTTGAAAAATATCTACCAACTCATACTGGACCAGCTTGGTAGATTTTGGTCCATTACTTTCAATGAAGAGAACTTCTTCTGCATTGAACTGATTTGGAATAATAAGAGCAAGAATAACAACAACAGCTCATAGTGAAGTGGACATGGAATGCTGAAAGTCAGCAAACAATTGAAAAAAAAAGAAAAAGAAAGAAAGAAAG